CCGCTTTACGAAGAGATTTCCTAAAACATGTACCGGCGCGCTGAGAGAGCAATTTTATCTTTAAACGCGTTTATCTCGAAACGGGGTTTTTCAAACTGGCGTGGGAAATAACTCTAACCAGTTATCATCAAATTTGGATATCGCCTAGGTTTTCTTGTTCAGAATTAAATTCTGCTTAGAAATACGTATCCACATTTTCGATTTTGTCAAAAATGGATTTTTAATCCACGATTTTGTAAGCATTTTTAGGGTGAAAAAATGGACTTTTTTTTCCTAGGGCTACAACTTTTGAAAAAATTAATTTAAAAAAAAAATCGGAATACGTATTTCTAACCCAAATTTCATTACTAATCAGGATTTTTGTTCGATTTATGTTCCAGGATCACATGGAAAGGAGTATTTTCCCACACCGTTTTCCGACTTCCGCGTGACCTGGTGCACCGGCCACGGGGAGACGCCAATCGAGTTCAAAAAAAAAATACAAAATGTAGTTCGAAGGATGACATATTTGCCCTCCCTGAGTGTTTTATTGCTTAAAAAAATTAACGAAAATGCCTTACTTTTTGGACGTTCAAAGTGTACTACCCCCTTAAGAGATCGAGCATTCCAATTTAAAATATTTAATGCTTTAAAATCCATTACTGAATTTTAAAGTCATGACAATATTATTTGCAAATTTTACCCCAGTTTGGATAGCATCAAACATGCAGTTAGATTTAAGCATATCAGAAATCATGTCAATTAATGATTTCTGTAAAATTCCATTTTAGGGGCAGTAATGCTTCCTAAGTCAAAATTGTCAAAATTTCCGTTAGAACGTTGGTTAGTATTTTGATTTCTACCCGCTGCAATAGCAGCATAGGTAGCTCCATTAACTCGCTGAACATTGTTAGCAGCGAGGGGAGTAGGTACAGATGAAAAATTTGAAGCAGGGGAGATATTTGTACCTACGGGTACGAATGTAGAATTTGTTCCTCGCTGACCGTTGTTAACAGCAGAGGAATTTGTACCTGGTCGGAAACGTGGAGCGTTTCCTACCTGACGGTTAGAACGAGATTGTAGGATCGCTTTGCGAGTCTTACATTCCCAAAAATTGGATTTGTGGTTTTCACCACAATTTGAACATTTAAATTTCTTAGGATCTTCCTTCACAGGACAGTCGTCCTTTGCGTGAGCGGAATCACCAAAATTCATGCATTTAGCTGGCATGTAACAATTTTTAGTTCCGTGACCCCATCCCTGGCACTTACGGCACTGGGTGAGGTTTTGGAAATTTTCTCCAGTCTTCCTGAAGTGTTCCCACTTCACTCGGACATGGAGCATAAGGCTAGCTTTTTCTAAGGCCTTAAGGTTGTTTAGTTCACTAGACTTGAAGTGAACTTAATAAAAATTATTAGAAATCCCGTTGCGCGAATCGCCATGACGGGATTTCATTTTCATTTTGATTACTTGGAGTGGCACAGTAGTAAAGGCGGCTATTCGACGGCGAAGAAAATGTTTACGATCCCTGTGACGTCTACAACTTTCCGACCCAGACCAACACAAAGCATTGGCTAGATTCCAGGAAGCCAGAGCAGTGGCACGACAGGCTATCAACCAGGCCAAAACGAAATCGTGGGAAAACTTCGTAGCGAAAATCTCACCAACTAGCTCGACCACCGATTTGTGGAGAACGGTCAACACTCTGCGAGGCAATCGACAACAACGCACCGTAGTGCTCAAGCGAGCAGATGGATTCACGGACAAGCCCGAAGAAGTAGCGGAGGAATTAGCGAAATGCTATAGTGGAAGATCAGCAACCTCTAGTTACTCTTCATCTTTCCAGATGGTTAAGACAGCAGCCGAACGAGAATCCATAGATCAAACACCGACACCGACCGATAATGTCTACAACATCGATATCAACCTTAACGAACTCCTGTGGGCCCTCGACAAAGGGCGAGGTGCTTCGACAGGTCCCGACTTAATTGGGTATCCGTTACTCCAACGTTTGCCACTGTCTGTGAAAATGACGCTTCTTGAGCTTCTTAACAGAATCTGGGACGAGGGTGTGTTTCCCGTTAGCTGGCGGAATGCTGTCGTCGTCTCTATTCCAAACCCGCACTGCCATGACTCCGGACCTGATGCCTTCCGTCCAATATCGCTCACCAGTTGCATGGCGAAGCTGTTCGAGCGGATTCTCAATCGTCGATTGACCACCGAACTAGAGTTGAGTGGACGACTTGACAAACGTCAGCACGCTTTTCGTACAGACCGCGGCACTGATACCTATTTTGCCGAGTTGGAAAGATCGCTGCTAACACACGACGAACACTGCCTGATAGCCTCCTTGGACCTGTCGAAGGCATACGATACCACCTGGCGACACGGAGTTCTGCGCACACTAAAATCATGGCAATTACGTGGTCGGATGATGAATATGCTGCAAAGCTTTCTTTCGGAAAGGACGATCCAGGTGTCTGTAGGAGGGCACATGTCTCGCAAACACCAGTTGGAAAATGGAGTACCACAGGGTTCTGTTCTATCAGTAACTCAATTTCTCGTTGTGATGCAGCCTATCTTTTGGGTAATACCGAAAGGAGTCGACACTCTTCTGTACGCGGATGACATCCTCCTCGTCGTACGAGGGGCAAAAAGTGAAGGACTACATCGCAAACTACAAGCCGCCGTCAAAGCTATCGACAAGTGGACAAAAAGCGTTGGATTCAGCATATCAGCAACAAAGTCCTACATACACGTCGAGATCCTGAGAGTAAAATCTTAATAGACCGAGTATCCATCCCGAAGTCAAACCGTTTGAGAGTCCTGGGTGTAATCCTCGACTGAACTCTGAGCTTCAAACCTCACTGTCAAATGGTGAAGAAAGCGTGCCAACCTCGGTTACGAATCCTTCAGATGATCGGTGCCAAACTTCCGCGTGGCGATCGAAAATCGCTACTGCAGGTGGGATCGGCCCTAGTGACCGCGAAACTGATGTACGGTATTGGAATAGTTAGCCGAGGAGGACCAGTAACACTGCAGAATCTCGCTCCAGCCTACCATAAAATGGTACGGTTTGCTTTGGTCAACTTGTACGGCAGACCGATCGTCCGTGGCACACACGAAAACCTTCAGTCCTGTGGGACGTTAAAAATATGTACGAGCCGGCAATCCTCCAGAGAAAGTCCACCCGGTAGTGCAACAACTACTGTCGACCCGCTTCCACCGATCAACCGTCGTCTACACCGATGGATCCAAACATGACAACACTGTGGGTGCTGCATTCCATAACAATGGTTTAGCGGGAAAGTACAGCCTCCCGAAGGAATGTAGTGTTTTCTTTGCGGAGGCGTACGCCATTAAGATGGCTGTTTCCATCCCGAACATTTCGAATGAATTAGTCATTCTTACGGACTCTGCAAGTTGTCTCCAGGCCTTAGAAGCTGGAACATCTAAGCACCCGTGGATTCAGGAAGTAGAGCAAATATCACGAAACAAATCTGTCCGTTTCTGCTGGATACCTGGACACGCCGGCATCCACGGCAAGTAAGGAAGGAAGAATGTGATAAAGGCAAACATGTAACTGGATGAAGATCAAAGAAGATGAACTGAGCTGGACCAAATTGATACGGTCATGTAAAGAAAGTGAAGGTCATTAAGAATACAAAGCGGATAGGGGATGGAAGAATAATAAGAAGGAGAAGATCAAAAGAAAAAATATGATGAAGTAAAAGCGGAGCGGAAAATGAAGTGGAAGAAGATCAAGAAGATAAAGCGGAAAATAGCGAAACGAAGAAGACGACACCGAAACGAAGAAGACGACACTGATTGGAGAAATCGTGAAGACGTGGAAGATGAAATCAAAGCAATGGAATTAATGAAGGGTGAAGAAAGAAGATGATGAAGAAGCAAAAAAAATAATTTGAAGTATGGTGAGAAGAAAGAAGAAGATAGATTAAAAGTGAATGAAGAAGAATATCATTAAGCAACAAATGATCAGGAGTGAAGAAGATATAAGAAGATGACGCAGCCAATTCAGCAAGATGAAGGAGACCCATCAACAAAATATCAAGATGGCGGATAACAAGAAACGGACGAAGGCTACGAACAAAAACGAAGATGACGCAAATGTAGAAGAAGTAAAAGTGAAATTTATTCAGAAGAAGAAGTAAAAGAGATGCAATGTTTTGATCAATGATGAACCAGAAGGAGACGAAACAAAGCTAAGTGCAATTAACCATAAACACTAACACTCACACCCACACATCATTACACTAAACTGAAACAGACATGAATGCATCTATGGATGTAAAATGTCTTAAATAAATACAAAAAAAAAAATGAATATTCTGAGCAGCACTATTCCGAACTAAACAATCCATTATACGTTTGGTTGTTGTGGTTAAAACAACAATGCCCAAAACTGCAACCTTCAATCCGACCATCTGATCAGTAAATTTGCTATACACACTATTATCACTTAGTGAGCACTTTCCAAACTGAAGTGCTTCATTACCGAGGAATATGTCCAGTAAACAATATTGGCGAAGACATGCATCACTAACGAAATCAAATTTCTTGATTATAATAAAAAAATTAACTGATTTAATTTAATCTATAAATAGATCACTGGGCGTTAATTAGTTAAAAGTAAGAAATATAAAAAATATTGAAACCCAAAAGGTATATCTGCGATTTGATTTTGATGGGGCTAACTATCACGTAAATAGTTATATTTGCACATAATATGAGCCAATTCGTACAAAGCAGATTTAACTAAATAATGACAACAATGCACTTAAAACTGTTGTGCAAATTGTAGATTTAGGCAGTAGTGCATATAACTTTAATTCCTCATTAAACAACATTACACAGAGCGAAATTGCTAAACTAGGCGCGCGTGATTCACATTGTAGAAGCTGCCATGCTGGGACAAGATCACTACCAAAATTCATGTTCACTCGAAGTGTTCCACCTTCTCTTAATACACACGATATTTTCGATATAAAACACTATTTTACCTGTAAACTGTCGGTTTGAACCGAAAACATCGTTCGATTTTTGACTAAGACTCATACTACACTTTCAACACTATTCGCACTCAACTAACGAGTATTGTTACGATCGAAGAGCTTTCGAACTTATCGCGCTGACACTGAGGACTGAACTGAAAGGTAATTAAATCGAAGACTTTCCTTAACCCCTTCGGATTGAATTCTAATTCGTATGAATAATTTTCAACATGTAGGTTGTAAACTTTTGATCGTTGTTGTATTTATACTACCGAAGGGCCCATTCGAACGATACAATTAACATTTTTTGCTGTTGGTAAAACGTGACGCGAGGTTAAAAGTATGGCTCTTATAATAGGGTTCATTTCATCAAGTCATTAGAAAACTTAGATGATAGAGTACTCATAAACAGTTCTATTTAAATTTATTTATTTATGCAGTTTTCGGCTACATTATTCGTACTGACTAAAAACTTAATAACTAATTCTCAACATAAAAAAAAAATTGAAGAGAAAAAAAAATTAACCTATATTGTTAAATATATTCCGTTAGAGATAATATTCATATTTCTGCAACTTAAGAACAATAAGTACGAGGCTAACATATAAAACGAATCAAATTATTGCTTCCAGCCAATGCAATTATATTGTTTTATGAACTTCTGGGCAGTGCCGAGATTTGTCATTGTCAATGACAGAATTTCAAAAAACAAAACAAGGAAAAAAGAAAGGCCGGAACAAATGTTATAAGTTTTACATTTGTCACCTCCCCTTCAACATTAAATCATGAAGGGGAAAATAATGTATGTTTTTCTATGCTGCATGGAAGAATTTTTGGACTCATTCAAAAAATATAACACATTTGATCGCTTGCTCATAATCTGTATAATGTTTTAATGGTATTTAAATATTTAAACAATATTTCATAAGTATAAAACTGATTTTTAATAATATGTAGGATCTGTTTTTTCATTTCCCTAAACTTTTTACGGGTTGTGAGTGTCGTTCATACTTTTCAAATATATATTTTCTAGTTTAACCTATTACAAACATTTCCATAGACTATATTTTCCTGATAACTGTAGGAGAGAGTGGACACACTTGATCCTCTGTTTTTATTTTGGACCTATATATCAGCGAAAAAAATTGAAACTTCAAGCGGGTTTCCCACAGGCTACATAGAAGAAATGGCTCTAATGTTGGCCTATGGATCTAAGATTGGGCCCATCGCTAGTAATCTACTATTTATCAATTTTATCTAGATGCACGCGTCATTGGAACGGTACTAATGGGTATTTTTGGTCGCTATTGAAAATTTAGTCGATTGCTGTATGGGCCCAAATTAGGGACACTTAGGCCGACATTACATACATTTCCCCTAATTATAATTTGTAAATTTATAAATGCGGAAATATAATTTGTTAATTTATAAATGCTCAAAAGGCTCTAAAACGATGTGTAAATTCCCAAAAACATGTTTTTTTTTCTTATCTATGTTTAAAAAATCATTTTGAAGAATTGGGGGTGACCCATTGATTACAAGTAGTTGTTTTGTAAGGGAGAGGGAATTTAGGGACTTTTCATATGATTTTTTTCTAAATCTCTTGAGCCGCTGACATGATAATATACATTCAAGTGCGTTTTTCTTAAATAAGTCACGAAACGTAGTTTTAAGAATTAGGGAACACTTGATCCCCATTTTATGATATTTATGTGAATATTAGTTTGCACACAAATGTGAAAAAAATCTGGGAGATGAGGTATCCACAAAAGAATTTTATTTACTCATATGTCAGGTTTAAGTATGTGTGGGGATCAAGTGTCTCCTAACTCAGTTTTCTACCTCAATTAGCATGAGCATTAGCATTAGCATTAGCATTTTTGACCGCCCACGGTTGCTACTCTGTTATTACCAGATCAGCTGCAATTACACAGAGAACCAACAGATGATGTTTGGTCTGAAGATCTAATATTTAGCAATACCAGCGCCGGCCGTGTCCGAATGCAGGTCCAATAGGGAATGGGAAGGAATGTGTTGACGTGATACTCGCTGTGAAGGAAACCGAGAAATCCTCTGCGCTTCCACGAGAAATCACTGGGATGTTGGATGTGGGGAAAGGTTTGCAGCAGCAGGGATCGTTTTTGGTAAACTAATGCTGATTGTAGTGATTTATAATAGGTACACAAACACAAAAACGCACGCATACACACGCACACACACGTACTCGTGAGTATAAACAGAATATAAAATGATATTTAATTGAACTTTAACTTTATTTTAACTTAACTTTAACATAACTTCAACTTAACTTTAACTTAACTTTGACTTAACTTTAACATAACTTCGAATTAACATTAACCTTACTTTAACATAACTTTAACTTAACTTTAACTTAGCTTTAACTTAACTTCAACTTAACTTTAACTTAACTTTAACTTAACTTTAACTTAACTTTAACTTAACATTAACTTAACTTTAACTTAACTTCAACTAAACTTTAACTTAAATTTAACTTAACTTATCTTTAACTTAACCTTAACTTAACTTGTACTTAACTTTAACTTAACTTTAATTTTACTTTAAATTTACTTTAACTTTACATTAACTTTACTTTAACTTCTGTAGGCTAGTTCATCTCTAAGCTGAAAAGTGCAAAATTCAATAATATAAATAAAATTTTATAATATAATCCTAGAGGTGTTTCATCATCGAAGAGCTGAAAGCAAGCTTAAATAATTAAAATCCATACATCCCGCATGAATGAAAACTGAAAAAAGTGGATTATTATTATGTAAATCTAATGATGTCATATATTCAAATATTCAACGATCTGAAAATAAACTTATCTTATTTAAAACAATGTCAGTTTTCTACCTCAATTCAAACATAGCAAAAAATCAAAAGATACAGCACCAAATGAATAATTATAGCTGATCATACTTATTTACAGCTTTGAGCTGTGAAAATTTGATACGTTTTGGTTGAAAATTCAAAAAGTTTTTAAGAAGTTTCATGGTGGCTAAAAAAAAGTCGTTCCCGTTCCACAATCTGACGCAAATGTTACCATAGGATTACCTTCCGTCTAGACGAAACGCTGTAGTAACTTACCTGAAAAACAGTATTTCGAGAAACCAAGTGTGTCCAGTCTCCCCTATACCTGAACGAGTTTGAAGAAAGTTCTCGAAATAACGTTGAAAATTTGTCTCCAATTTTTTGCGAATTTGAATCCTTCTGTTAAGCCTGCTTATAAAGCTTGTAACATGCTCCTTATGCCAATGTCTGCATTCTATTTTTTCAACAATCTCTTAAAAAGTATCCCAGAATTTCGTCAAAGTTCTTTTTAAAATTATCCTACATACTTTTTTTCTGGAATTCGCCTGAAATTTTCTAGAATTTCACGGCAGTACAATTTTAAGATTCTCTCCAAAGAAATCTTGGCATTCATTTTAAAATTATCTTAGATTTTTTCAAAATTCTTGCATGAATTTGCTAAGATTTATTTCCATAGCTTTCTTTAACGTCTCCTTGAATTATTCAGCCCAATTTTCTTCTGAATTCTCTTGCAGTTATAATCCCAATACGTTCGCAAATGTCCTTTAAATATCATCCTTAAATTTTTCCAGAGATTGTATCAGAGAGGTTTTCTCTGGTTTACCCTTAAAATTTCCTCCACAACTTTTCAGCATTTTTTTTTCCTTTGTTTTGTTTTTTCCATCGATCTTGTTTTCCGTGCTGAGCACCAATGCTACCGACGTGCCAGGAAGGCAGCTTCCACACCTGGACCCTACCTATCGACCCATCAACTCATGAACCGGGGACCAACGGCTTTACTTCCCATCCGAAGGAAGGCGTGATCAGAGATGTTATGCCTCAGAACATCCCGGCGGCGCCGACTGGGATTGAACCCAGGCCTGCTGGGGTGAGAGGTAATCACGCTTACCACTACACCACCGGCGCCGTTATCTTTTCAGCATTTCTGTTCTATAAAAATTACAGGACCATTAAGGCCAAAAACTGGCTACTTAGCCTATCCATTTTTTAAATTCTCGAGGAATATCCGTTCGATTTTTAAAGTTTATGCCTTAAAATTACCTCGGATTAATTCTTAGAACTGACTTGAAATTCTTCTTCGCACACGCCTTCCACACCACTAGCAGGTTAGAGGAAAATTTCCCCTATCTGATGGTAGCGCAAACACGCGTGGGCGAGCCACCAGCTACGCCAAATCGACGACCACTGCCCACTAAAGCCGACACGTCCCTTTGAAAAAGTTATCGAGATTTCTATTAATTAATGAATTATTGACAATTACCTCTCATGATCCTCGGCTCCACTATGATTTCAAACTGCCACTTTTTGATTATTTATCAAATACCTCTCCGAGTATATAACGCCCTGATGCCTTGGATTCTCATTTGGATTGGTCCTGAATTTGTTTGATATTAACTTTACATTAACTTTACTTTAACTTCTGTAGGCTAGTTCATCTCTAAGCTGAAAAGTGCAAAATTCAATAATATAAATAAAATTTTATAATATAATCCTAGAGGTGTTTCATCATCGAAGAGCTGAAAGCAAGCTTAAATAATTAAAATCCATACATCCCGCATGAATGAAAACTGAAAAAAGTGGATTATTATTATGTAAATCTAATGATGTCATATATTCAAATATTCAACGATCTGAAAATAAACTTATCTTATTTAAAACAATGTCAGTTTTCTACCTCAATTCAAACATAGCAAAAAATCAAAAGATACAGCACCAAATGAATAATTATAGCTGATCATACTTATTTACAGCTTTGAGCTGTGAAAATTTGATACGTTTTGGTTGAAAATTCAAAAAGTTTTTAAGAAGTTTCATGGTGGCTAAAAAAAAGTCGTTCCCGTTCCACAATCTGACGCAAATGTTACCATAGGATTACCTTCCGTCTAGACGAAACGCTGTAGTAACTTACCTGAAAAACAGTATTTCGAGAAACCAAGTGTGTCCAGTCTCCCCTATACCTGAACGAGTTTGAAGAAAGTTCTCGAAATAACGTTGAAAATTTGTCTCCAATTTTTTGCGAATTTGAATCCTTCTGTTAAGCCTGCTTATAAAGCTTGTAACATGCTCCTTATGCCAATGTCTGCATTCTATTTTTTCAACAATCTCTTAAAAAGTATCCCAGAATTTC